TTTCATTGATGATGATGATTGTTGTGAAATGTCTTGTCACACAAACTTGAAGATCCACAGGCGAAAACTAACAAGTTGACAGAAGAGGTGAGAGGAGACAGTGAAGGAAGACAGGACTTCCTTCAGGTGAACACGGAGAAGACAGAGGTGATGAAGATACCCAACCAACAACAGCAAGTACCAATCACTATCAGTGGTAAGAATTTCAAGGAAGTTATCTCTTCCACCTACCTACAGGCGGCGGTGGAGGCACAGAGAGGATGTCAAAACCGGGGCCCTCCTGCATTCATTTGAAATCTGTGTGGAGATCTACTCCTCTGCACTCCACTCCACTCAACTAAGCATAAAGCATGAACAACATCCACATTTTCAACACTAATGTTAGTCAAGTGAGTCAGTGTTTCCATGTGATGCTTGAGAGACTTAGCAGCGCGTTACGAAAAGCATTTCGAACAAACTGCAAACACACAGCGTCATATCAAATGGACCGTTTAACCTTCAAGATCCCGTAATATACTACAGTAGTCTTTCATTCTTTCATTTGTGGCGGTAACATTTTGCAGATATCTGTAATGATTGATGAGTCATGTATGCTTGTAACGTGTGTTGTTTTTTCCCGGGTTTCTGAAAAAATACTATGTTATATTGTATAGAACTTCAAACATTGTCAACACAACTAGTGGTGTACACACAAATCTTCTAGTTAACACTGTTCTCCACAAACATTTTAACTCATGTAAATATCTGCAGCAGTCATTTTATCACATCACCAACATACACTACACTCATACACCTCTGCGTATCAGTCATATGGAAAGATGAGGAGCAAGTAAATAAGACTCTATGCAACTACTACAAAATATAAAATCTCTAGGATATCACATTAAGCTCGACTGCTATGTGATGAAGAAAGTATTAGAAATGAAGTAACCAACCAACTTCTGTTTTTCAAAGCAAACTAATGATTGATGATGAGCATGTTATTATTTAACGTATTATGAATGTGATTGCCAATGTGATTGTTTACCTAAATTGACTGTACATTTTGAAGACAGTTGTAGATCGAATAAAATATTCTCATCTTTTCTTCATATAATTTCTACTTATGTTCATTTTGTTTTGTATACATATACACTGTCTCTATCCAACTGATGCTATATGATGTGCTGAAGATTCTGTAGATTAATCCCGGAAATAGCTTTCAGAATAAAGCCATTATTATTATTATTCAGTAAGGAAGGATTCTACTATCAATCTCTTTCCCCACCTAGGTATATTAGATTTTAGAACAGTCACTTATCCTAACTACGCTAAATTATTATCATGGGTTAATTAATGTATGCAAAGTGATAACTGAATTTTTCTCTGAATCGCTTATCTTAATAAAGTCTATCATTGTATGTTTCGTTAAATTTTTGTGTTTGGCTATTCTAACTGATACTAATCATCTACTTCAATCTGGATATTTAACTATCCAATCATTAAATGACAGATTAGTTTAGTTTTCTGTATTGGTTCTACTGGATCTTTTGACTCATAAGTTTCTCTCTGAATGAGTTTGTGGGTTTAAATGCCATTGTAATCCCAGCTATAATAAGAATTCTACATGAAGTTTTCCATGTGCTTTTTTTTAAATGGCAACACTATAGATGGCTTGAATTCTCTTTTAAGGAAGCTGCAATCACCACTAACGTTATCCCTCCTCTCGACTATTTGTACTTTATCAGGCATACCACAACATATATGAGGTGGTGAGATGGTGTGAAATGCAAGTATCTATTCGAATCTTTTGCTTTCTGTTAACATTAGTTTCTAAGCTTTCATCTATTGTCCTTATGATTTTGCAGCGAATGTGTCATCCACATTTCGTCACTAAACTTTAAGGCTGGGTTAGAATGTTCCTAATACTATCTATTGTCAACCGTCCATGTATAGAAATGTTACGGTCGGAAATATCGTTTATATATTCGTTCTTGGAATTTCAAAACCATATGAGTTAGACATCGTCCTATCCCTAGCAAAATTTCTCCATTTAAAACTCTAGACTTGTTACTGAGTTCAAGGTTAGTTTGTCTCTGATTGCCTCGTATATTATGTTAATTGTTATATTTATATAGAGGCTCATTACATCAAAACTGACCATCTTTTCGCCTCTAATTCTATATTATTAGGTCTTGAAATGATGAAGAATATTTGTAGCTTAGGTGGATAGTCTTGCTTGCATTGTGTTCTCTCATTAAACAACCCAGCTCAGAGAACACAATACAAGCAAGATTATTAGGTCTGTGCTTCAGTTCAAATAAACCAGTCAGCCTAGATTTTGAGTGATTCCTAATAAAAAGTAGCACTGTTTGCAAACATTTTGATAATTCATATGTTGGTGTATTTCTAAAGTCAATTAAGCCAATTAGGCAAATAAATTAGCCTACCAAATACCATGCTAGACCTTACTAAGATCAGCTGTTTGGAGAGAAACTCGTCTATCCACTCCGTACGCACTAACCCATAATTACACTGTAGCGTGGGTGGGATAAGATAACAATTCTAAAATCCGAAATAGCTAGGTAGACGAAAAGATTGATAGTACAATCTTTGTTCATCGAATCAACATCTAACACATGGAACAGGTGTACATGACTCTTCACTCATTGCAGATACCTGCCAAATTTTACTACCATTAAAAGAAAGAATGGGGATTTATGGAATAGATGATAGGGTTTTTAAGATCCTTTGACATGATTATGAGCAATAAATTCTGCTAGATACGTCTTCCAGTAATTTATACTGTTTCACTGTGTGCCACATCAAATAAGCAGTCTAATATGGATGTTGTCCGTTATTTGTAATTACACTGTTGCTATACAGGGCCGAATAACTAACCTCTGTTGATAGATATGCTGCTGTGTAGATGCCTTTTACTGCCGTATATTAACGACGTCATCTTGGTCAGTAGCAGTGAAATTCAAGACTTACTCTTCGTCCTATTTAGGACTCATCAGCTGCATGTACCTTCATCCCAGCGAGTGGTGTTTTCCCACTGGGACTACGACAATATCGAGGCATCTGGATGAGAGTCTGTATGTTAACACGAGTCGAGCAATTTTGGCCTATATAGTAACAAGAAAATTTCAAATATCTAACAACAACTGATCATTGTTACTCAGGTAGTGGCTGTCGTGCTCCAATGGCCTACAGGATAACTCTTTGATATTCGAAGCGTTGCTTGGTGATTTCGAGTCTCTGTGGAGAGAACACCACTGACTAAAGTGTAAGTAAATCCAGTCGAAGAGTCTCAAATAGGACGAATCGCGCTTTCTGTATTCTACTGTTAGTCATTAAGATGAATATAATATGGGGTCTGCAGCTCATCTACACATTTCTTATTTTTCAACTTAATCTAGTTTAACTATAGTTAGCATTTCATCAACACTCGTTGTGTAGGAAATCTGTAGTCATTTATACTGAAGGTAAATGCATTCATGTTATTTATTTAATCATGGAATTTTATTGCTGATAATTTTCCCTATCTTTCAGTTCTGCATAAACGCAGACTAAATGATGTACAAAAATGTAGGAATTTATGAGGCCTTATTCGACTGACTAATCAAAGAAAGTAAGCAAATTCATAACGTATAGTTCTGACCGCTGACTGAATTCGAGTGATCATTCTGAATGTGGGTAGTGAAGCTGGGAAACTTAACATTGCAGTGTACTATAGTAGATATGATTTGTTTGGAGTCAGCTAAAAGTCCTTAAAAGGTGTGTCAGCAACTTAGTGAAAACTGAACCCGCCACATGTAGTGTTCCAGTCAAAAAAATTACTACTGAGTAACTACGGCTGTGCCACGAAACCTTATCAACCTCACAACAGATATATGCCATATGACGACGCTACATGCTAAGAAATTCACAATGGTAAGCTGCTCAACGATGCCTTTGAGGTGAAGACATTAGTAAGACAAGGTTGCCTACTATCAACGATCATCTTCCTGATTGTGGTCGATTCGACTGGATCATGCAACAAACTGGAGGAAGTTGTTTCTTTCACCCACCTACCTACCTCTCTACCTAAGCAGCATCGTTTCAACTACAGGTGGCACAGACACATGACGATGTCAAAATCAGGATCGGAAAGACAGCAAGACAGGCCCTCCTGCATTCATTTGAAATCTGTGTGGAGATCTACTGCACTCAGCATAAAGCATGAACAACATCCACATTTTCAACACTAATGTTAGTGAAGTAAATCAGTGTTTCCATGTGATGCTTGAGAGACTTGATAGCGAGTTACGAAAAGCATTTCCAACAAACTCCAAACACACAGCATCAACACCTGCCGCCTTTGCTTGCTCACTCGATACTGATGATGGCAATCAGATGACCAGAATAATATAATAAGCAAGGAGGAACTTTGTCTGGAAACGCACCAACCAAGAACCTATTGCCCAACAAATATGCATGAGAGAGTGGAGATGGATCGGATTGGATTGGACATGGTGTGAGAAGACAGTTTGGGGTCATCACGCATCAGGCCAGGTCAGGTCAGTTCAGGCCAGGCCGTGGAGTGGAACCTGAATGGGAAAAGACGACTTATGCGTCTGATGCGAGTGTGACATGGAGGAGATTGTGTGAGGAAGAAATGAAAGGTTGTAGGCAGTGGTTGAGCCAGGTTGCTGTGACTGGAGGAAGAGAGTGAAATGGTGATGTGCTAGTGAAGCCTTATGTTCCACTAGGAACCCAAGGGACAAATAATAATACACTTAGAAAGTATTTGTCCTCTATTAGGAATTACGTAGGCATATTTGTTAGTCATCGGACAGCAATCAGTTTCTTTCTGTCCAGTCTTGAATGATTTATTTTCCATAGGTAAAGCCTTTTTGAATTCCACCCAATCTAACACATAACATGTAACCGGTATAATAAAGTTTAGTCGATACATTCAACACCTAGATGATTATTTTAGTTTCATCTCATTCAAGAATAAACACGCTAAGACTTACCTCATAGTAAATTACTAAAAGTTAACATAACGTTTCAGGGAGATTAATGTACAGTATCTTCAAGATAATTACGTGTACGTGCATATTTACAAACTAGAAAAACTTGGATATATCCTTTGCTGTGTTCCCTTTTAAACTGGTAATTCACAGAGTAAAATACTTCACAATATCAGTACAAACTTCCAATATGTTAAGAAATAAAACTATATCATTCAAGTTTTTCATAATATATTTGGTCTTTAATTATAAATTTTAAGTTTTGTTTTTCCATTATATAGTTTGATTGGTAAGTCTCCTAATAACCAATCAAAGTAATGTTTTTCTTCGTTAACAAAATATATGCCACATATATGCATACAAACAGTTTTCACATTGAAATATTTTGTAAAGTATGCTTATGTATGCTTATGCTTATAGGTTAGGTTAATTATAGCAATCCCAAGCTGTATCCCTTACCACTGAAATAGTTATCTTCTTAATAAATCCAGACGTTGATTGCATCACATTGAATTAGGCAGATATGTATGAAATTAAACTATAGTCTACACTGATAAATCTGCTTAAATTTTTTTAATCTAAAACTAACCTGTTTTGTAAAGATATGAGTAAAACTTTGGCCCTGGAGTAGAATTCAGTTCAATTATAGCTGATGTAGAGTGTATCAGTATTATTCACTAGCATAACTCCACAACTTTGAGACATGATATATCTAGTTTTAACCTTCTCGCCTCCTTTATGATATAAGTAATAAGATTTTAAGGATATCCGGAACAAGTACTGAGTCATTCCAGTTGTATCTATTAAGCGTTGATTCAAGGAACAAAGATTAGGCTATCAATCTCTTCCTTCACCCTAATCACACAACAATAGAAAATTAGAACTATATAACCCTTTTGCAAAGAAAGTTATGGAGTTATTTTGATATGCCATGTCTTAGGGTCATTGCACAGAGAACTATAGCTCCAAAGAATTGAGCATCATAAAAAGTATAACCGATATATTATTTGCTCCACATCTATACTTCTACAGGACTGCATTCTGTTACATAAGAGGCAGAACATCACGAATGCACCAGGTGTGTTGAATAGATGCTATTGCACGTATTTGTTACTATCCAATATAAAAGGTAGTGCGTAATGAGTATATTCCTTCTACAAAATAAGCCAGTTTTGGGAGTATTAGTTAATTTAACTTTACAGGATGAACACTGACCATAAAGCACAAGCAAGTCTTAAAAATACCTCCTATAGTTAAGATTCGTAGTTATATCGTTAATTATTTCAACATAATGGAAGGTTTTGAGGTGAATGAAGATTTTAATCTTCAGGTAGTATTCATCACAGACTGATATTAGTTGGAATGGAAGTGGGTGCCAATTGAAGACCTTGGGTGATAGTTGCACTACATTGTGAATTGAAAGAAGTTGGAAACTATGAACTGCTGAACATCAACACAGTGGCTGGATGGTTAACACGTTCGCTGTGAAATTGGAAGGACCTAAGTTTGATCCCTAATCGGGTCGTGGATGTATATTTCTGAGAAGTCCCGTACTAAGACGGGACAGCTGTCCAGTGTTCACAGGTTTTCAGTAGTTCCCTAACTGATGTCTACTCATGATGAATACTAACTCATAAATGAAGGTTATTTTTAAGTCTCTATGCGGTGTCATATCTTTGGGAAAAAGCTAAACCAGCCTGGCATTATTATTATTATTATATTATTAGTCCCTTGGGTTCCTAGTGGAACATAGGGCTTCAGTAGCACGCCTCCAGTGACCTCTGTTCTCTGAGATCTTTTGAACCTGGTTCCACGACAGCCCAGAAGCTCTCATTTCCTCCTCGCATGACCTCCTCCATGTCACCCTCGGACGTCCAACTCGTCGCTTCCCATGGGGATTCCACTCGAGACTGGCCTGACGCGTGATGTCCTCAGTCGGCCTTCTCAGTGCATAGCCAATCCATCTCCACTTTTTCCTGCATATTTGTTGCGTGATAGGTTCTTGGTTGGTTCGTTCCCAGAGCTCCTTGTTGCTTATTTTTTCTGGCCATCTGATCTTCAGTAGCGAGCGTAAGCAGTTGTTGATGAACGTCTGTAGTTTATTGGAAATGCCTTTCGTGACGCGCCAAGTCTCTGAGCCATACAAGAGCACTGACTTGACGTTGGTGTTGAAAATCCGTATCTTGTTCCGCATGCTGAGTGCAGAAGATCTCCACACTGGTTTCAGGCTAATGAACGCCTGTCTTGCTTTTCCGATTCTGACTTTGACGTCCTCGTCCGTCCCGCCTGTAGTTGAAACAGTGCTTCCTAGATAAGTGAAGGAGGTTACTTCCTTCAAGTTTCTCCCGTTGACAGTGATTGGAGTTTGTTGTTGTTGTTGTTGATGGTGGTGGTGCGGTATCTTCATCACTTCTGTCTTCTCTATATTCACCTGAAGTCCCGTCTTAGCTGCCTCTTCTATCAACTTGTTAGTTTTTGCCTGCAGATCTTCAAGTTTATGTGACATTAGGCATAAGTCATCGGCGAAATCCAAGTCTTCTAGGTTCTTTTCCCTGGTCCAGTGTATCCCCCTCTTCTCGCTGCCTACTGTTTGCTGCATGATCCAGTCGACCACAATCAGGAATATCATAGGGGATAGTAGGCAACCTTGTTTCACTCCTGTCTTCACTTCAAAGGCATCACTGAGCTTCCCATTGTGGATTACTTGGCATGTGGCATCTTCATATAGTTGTTGAATGAGGCGGATAAAGGTTTGCGGTACTCCGTAGTATTGAAGCAGTTTCCAAATTACTTCTCGGTCGACGCTGTCAAAGGCCTTCTCAAAGTCGATGAAGTTGAGATGGAGAGGTGATTGCCATTCTATGCTCTGTTCTATGATGATGCGAAGCGTTGCAATTTGGTCTGCACATGATTTGTACTTCCTGAAGCCTGCCTGTTCCGGTCGCAGTTTTGAATCCAGTGCGTCTTTAAGCCTCTCTAGGATGATGCGGCTTAATATTTTGCTTGCTTGGTGGACAGGAGAGTGATTCCGCGCCAGTTCTTGCAAGCACTGAGGTCTCCCTTCTTCGGCAGTTTGACAAGGTAACCCTTCTTCCAATCGTCAGGTACCTTCTCTTCCTTCCACACCTTCTGCAATAGTGGTGTGAGCATGTCCGCTGTTGTCTCTGAATCTGTTCTCAGTGCTTCTGGCGGTATTCCATCTGGTCCTGCTGCTTTCCCGCATTTCAGTAGCTTTATGGCGTTCAGGACTTCCATTTTCGTTGGGGGATCTATGTTCACTTGTAATTCAGCGGCTGCAGGTGGTATTTCTGGACGAAGTGCAGGTGGTGGTCGATTCAAGAGCTTCTTGAAGTGGTCGGCCCATCGTTTCCTCTGTTTCTCTTCTTTTGTAATTAAATTTCCTTCTTCATCTTTTATTGGTTTCATCTGTGTTGGTCTCTTCCCTGATAGCAACCTGGTTATTTGATACAATGTCGTCAGGTCTCTCTTACCTGCAGCCTGTTCTGCTTCACTTGCCAGTGTTTCGTAGAAGTGTCTTTTGTCTTTGCGTGCACTCTTCTTCACTTCTTCGTCCAGTGTTTTATACATTGTGCTCAGTTCCTCTTGTCGTTGAGCATCCTTGCACTGGTTTATCTTCTGCTTCACCATCCTCCTCTCCTCTATCAGCTTCCAGGTATCCATCGAGATCCATTCCTCCTTATCTTCTTTCTTCTTCCTTCCTAATACTGTTGTGCAGGTTTCTTTCCACATAGCTTTCAAAGACTTCCAGTGTTCTTCCACACAGGTTTCTTCAGGGATGTTCCTCGATGTCTCCCATTTTGTCTTGATGGCTGCCTTGAAGATCTCCTTTGTAGTTTCATCCTTCAGTTTCCGAGTGTTGTACTTGGGTTGAGGTCTATCACCAGCTTCCTTGAAGGCTTTTAACTTGATTTCGAAGGTTCCTTGCACTAGATAGTGGTCTGAACCTACATCTGCTCCTCTTCTTGACCTTGTGTTAAGTAGACTGCGTCTCCATTTTCTTGAGATTGAGATAAAGTCGATTTGATTTTTAGTGTGTCCATCTGGTGAAATCCATGTCGCTTTGTGGATATCTTTGTGCCTGAACACACTGCCTCCAATCACCAAATCGTTGAATGCACAGAATTCTGCAAACAATTCTCCATTCTCATTCATTTCACCTAGCGCCTCTCGACCCATGGTTAGTTCTCTTCCCGTGTTGTCCCCTCCCAGTTTGGCATTCATGTCGCCCATTAGAATTTTGATATCGCCAACTGACGTCTTGTCCAGTGTTGATTGAAGTTGTCTGTAGAATTCCTCCTTTTTCTCTTGCTCTGCATTATTTGTAGGTGCATAACATTGTATGATTGTGACCTTTCTTCCTTTTGAGTTGAATCTTGCTGTCATGATCCTGGAGGAGATTGGTTTCCACTGCATGAGAGCCTTCGATGCTCTTGAGGACATCATGATAGCCACTCCCTCAGTGTGCTCGTGGTTGGCGTCTGGGTGACCGGAGTAGATTATTGATTCTCCAGTTGACAGTTTGGAGAGTCCACTCCCATTCCATCTGCTTTCGCAAATCCCAAGCACTTCGATGTTATACCTTCTCACCTCCCTTGCAATCTGGGCTGCCTTACTGGGTTCAAACATCGTACGGACATTCCATGTCCCCACGTTTACTTTCGCTTTCATCGAGGGAGAGAAGACACATCGGCCAATTGGCTTCCCGAAGGCAGGCTTTCACCAACTGGCGTCATTTCGCCTCTCCGATTCCAGCGGGGAATAAGTTTGTTTTCATTTTTTATATTTTGTTTGTGCTTTGAAGTTTCTTTAGCGGTTAGATTTGTTTTACGGGGTAGGGTTGCTAGCTCTATGCCCAACCTTCCCTCTTTACCCGGGCTTAGGACCGGCTAGTAACTAGTAAACTAGTTAGCCAGGCGAGGTTAAGCCTGGCATGCACAAGTAGAATTTCAATGAAAACACTTACTTTACCACAAACTATTTAGGTGGTGGTATTTTGGTAATCAAGTTACTGTGAGTTCTGTAGTTTTATAAATATTACTCAATGCCTTTTAATTCAAGTTGGATCATTCTAATTCGAAAATTAGCAAACTACAAAATGGTGATTATATATATATGAAGTTTTAAAGAACAGCGGCTTTCAATGAAGAGCGATATTGGGTAAATACACCAGCCCATCAAGACTCAAAACGTACTCACATATCTCATTTGAACGGAATGGAAGTGAAATCA